TTATTTCAACCCTGGTGAATCTGATGATTATGTGTCTTGGGGTTGCTCTCCTTGCGGAATATCTTTGTGGTGTTCTCTGTATTTCCTGGATTTGAGTGTTGGCCTGCCTTGCTAGGTGGGGAAAATTCTCCTGGATAATATCCTGAAGAGTATTTTCCAGCTTGGATTCATTCTCTTCGTCACATTCTGGTACGCCTATCAAATGTAGGTTAGGTCTCTTCACATAGTCCCACATTTCTTGGAGACTTTGTTCATTCCTTTTTGCGCTTTTTTCTCTAATCTTGGTTTCTTGTTTTATTTCATTGAGTTGATCTTCAACTAATGATATCCTTTCTTCTGCTTGGTCAATTCGGCTGTTAAAACTTGTGCATGCTTCGCGAAATTGTCATGTTGTGTTTTTTAGCTCCTTCAATTCGTTCATATTCCTCTCTAAGTTATCCATTCTTGTTATCATTACCTCAAATCTTTTACATCTTTTTTTAAGGTTCTTAGTTTCTTTGCATTGATTTAAAACATGTTCTTTTAGCTCACAAAAGTTTCTCATTATCCACCTTCTGAAGTCTAATTCAGTCATTTCGTCACAGTCATTCTCCGTCCAGCTTTGTTCCCTTGCTGGGGAGGAGTTTTGGTCCTTTGTAGGAGGCGAGGTGTTCTGGTTTCGGGTGTTTTTCTCCTTTTTGCGCTGTTTTCTTCCCATCTTTGTGGATTTATCCACCTGTCGTCTGAGTAGTTGCTGACTTTTCGATTGGGTCTCTGAGTGGACGCCCAGATTGTTGATGATGAAGTATTTCTGTTACTTGGTTTTCCTTCTACCAGCCTAGCCCTTCCACTGTACGACTGCTGAGGTTCATTCCAGGCTCTGCTTGTCTGGGGTGCACCTATAGCAGCTGCGGAACAGTGAGGGATGCTACCAGTTTCTTTTTCTGCTATCTTTGTCCCAGAATGATGCCTGCCAAATGTCGGTATTTTGGATATACAGGGGTCAGGGAGCTGCTTCAGGAGACAGTCTGTACTTTATAGGAGCTCAAGTGCTGAGCTGTGAGCTCTGTTGTTCATTCAGGGCTGTTAGGCTGCTACGCTTAAATCTGCTGCAGCAGAACTCGTAAAAAAAAAAAACCCTTTTTTTCTCAGATCCTCTGTCTCGTGGGGTTGGGGCTTCCTTTATGAGTGTCCGTTGCGCTGTCCTGCCCAGCTAGGAGGCAGTCTAGCCACTATTTGCTTGCCGAGACTCCGCCCTGCTGGTGTGAGGTCCGCCGTTTTGCTTCAGGCTCTGCCCTGCTGCTGCGGTCTCCGCCCTGCTGCCACAGGCTACGCCCTGCGGCGGAGTCTCTCTGTTGTGGCTGGTTGCCTCGGCAACGGCAGGCTGAGTCAGCAATGGGAGTGTACCTCAGTAGGGGCGGATTGCCTTGGTAATGGCGGACACCCCTCCCCCACCGAGCTGCATTGTCCTGGGTTCAGCTGTGCCCACAGTGAAAGTCTCCACCCGGAGTGTTTGGAATCGCCGTTTTGTTTGTCCCACTGCGCTGGCCCGAACGCCTTTTCCCTGGAATCTCCTGGCCTGGCTCACTGTCCAAGTCCTGTTCAATCAGATGGATATGCCAATCTGCCCTCCCAAGTCTCAGATTGCCGGTTCAATAGGGCAAGTGGACCTGTTCGCTTTGTGTGGAGCGCTGTGGAGCGCCGCTGCCGTGCCGGCCGCCAGCTGCACCAGCCAAAACTGCCGCACTGGCGTCCTGTGTCTTTCCTATACCTGGGAATTTCCCCGTTCTGTGGGCAACAAAGATCTGTCTGGAAGTGCGGCCCTGACTCACCCTCCGTGAGTTCACCGAGAGCTTCAATCCTGGGTTGTTCTCACCGTGCCATCTTGAGTCCGAGACCCATTTCTAGCTTCTTAAGTGGCATTATTAGGTTATTTGAAAGTTTTCTCTTTTTTTTTGATGTAGGTGCTTATACCCTAAATTTCCCTCTCAGTACTGCTTTTGCTTTATCCCATAGGTTTTGGTATGTTGTGTTTCCATTATTATTTGTTTCAATAAATTTTTGTTTCCTTCTTGATTTTTTCATTGACCTACTGGTCGTTCAGGAACATATTGTTTAATTTCCATGTGTTTGTATAGTTTCCACAGTTTATTTTGTTACTGATTTCTGGTTTTATTTTGTTTAGAGAATATGTTTGATATTATTTCAATTTTTTTGAGTATTTTATAGATGTACTTTTTAATATATGTATTTTCTTATAGTTGTACTGCTTACATACTTCATACTTTAACAGTTACATTGCTACTTTTGCTCATCTATTTCCCATTGAGGGAATTTAGCTGTTTTAACCCATTCCAAAGAACATCTTGGCGCACACTGGATTGTGTTTTATGATGTTTACAGTGGCTTCCACCTAATAGGTTTACAGTGTTGTTTGATGAAATAATCTTAAAAATTACTAAGATGGATAGTTAAAATAATCTTTTAGTTGAATTTCCATTTTGCTTTCTGGAAAGATTGAACAGTATTACAGTATTATTAGTAGTGTGTTTATGAACCTGTGTCCCATATTGAATGTGGATTTTTAAGATAATTTATTTTTTTATTACTCAAAACCACTCAGATTTTTTTACCTTGATGTGACAAGTTATTATAGTTTTAATTAAGCTTTTACTGAGATCCTTTCTAAATTATAAACCTATAATTTCTTATAATTTAAGAAATATTTAATAAAAAAATTCTTATTAAATATTTTGGCTGTTTGGATTCTAAACAGCCATTGCCTTGTTTTGTTTTTAATTTGGAGCAGTCTGACTTCTACTACTATCATTTCACAGAAGTATTTCTTACTAAGATAACCAGTCATCTCTTAAATGGCCAACCTAGTAGCAACACTCAAGACGTTATTTTTTCTCATCTTTCTGCTATATTCAGTGTTGTTATTCAGTTCATCTTTCTTCACATTTTTTATTTCAATAATACCCTTCTCTTATATTCTCTCTCATTGTCTGATATTTTTGAGGATGAGGTTCCTGTTTCCACCCCTTGGTTGATGGGCCATCTTTGTTAGTCTTTTACACTATTTTTCATACTCTTCCTAGACATCTTTGCTTGTGGCCTCAGTTAACTCCAAATGGCTCCCAAATCTGTATGTTCAACTCTGTTTCTCTCTGCTTTAGATTGAGGTATCTAGCTATTTGACAGATTTCTATGCATTTCATTTTCAACAAATGTAAAATCAGATCCTTGTGTTTCTTCCTCATTCAGTTCCTATCTTCCCTTCCTCAGTGAATACCAAAATCTTGTATTCTTTTCCCTTTTCTCAAGATAGTTCCTCCACTGTGCCTATTTCAGGCATATTTAGTAATAATAGCTTCCTCTCATCTTCATGCCTGCTCTTGAACCTTTTTAATAATATCTTCCATTTTAAAACTAAAGTAATCTGTCTGACATAATACCTGTATGATCTGTCTGACCGTGTTTTCCCCTTCTTCCAATCCTTCAAAATCACCCAAGACCTTGGAAGCAAGTTGGTCTCCTGAATGTTGCATCGTGACCTAGAGAATTCATGAAAGTCAAGCTGTGGGCTGGGCACAGTGGCTCACACATGTAATCCCAGCACTTTGGGAGGCCGAGGCAGGTGGATCACCTGAGATTGGGAGTTTGAGACCAGCCTGACCAACATAGTGAAACCCTGTCTCTACTAAAAATACAAAAATTAGCCAGGCATGGTGGTATTCATCTGTAATTACAGCTACTTGGGAGGCTGAGGCACAATAATCGCTTGAGCACAGGAGGCAGAGGTTGCAGTGAGCCGAGATCACGCCATTGTACTCCAGCCTGGGTGACAGAATGAGACTCTAACTCAAAAAAAAAGAAAAAAAAAAGAAACCAAAGTCAAGCCGTGAAATCAGCATTATTGAAGGTTGTCTGAGTTACTCCAGTTTCAGCCTGACTTGAGGCTTACTGATTACAGGATAATCCCAGCAAACACTTTGCATTCTATACAGGGCTGAGCTGATCTCCTTTTCCCCCCCCATTTCTCTGTAACCATTCTTCCTCTTATAACATACTTGCCTCCATACCATTCCTAAATTCACTGCATCCTCTCATTTTTCTGCATACTTTGGACATACTGACCTCTGTCTTTAATCTCCTTTCTGCCCTTAATCGACAGGTGTTTTATTTATTGTTTTAGTCTCATTTCAAGTTCAGCATATTTTAAATCCTCCAGAGAGTTATTGTTTCTTTGACCATCTATTATTTTTGTATGTATCTGTGTACTACTTTGAAGTTTTTATCTGATTGTATTTTTTTTTTTTTTTTACACTTTTGCCTCCCTCTGAGACTTTAATTCTGTGAGTACAGGGATCTTTTTGTGTGTGTGTGTGTGAGGCAGGGTCTCACTCTGTTGCCAAGACTGGAGTGCAGTAGGATGAACACAGCTCACTTCAGCCTCAACCTCCTGGGCTCAAGCAATCCTTCTACCTCAGCCCCACAAGTAGCTGGGATTTACAGGTGCTCACCATCATGCCTGGCTAATTTTTATATTTTTGGTAGAGATGGGGTTTCACCATGTTGCCCAGGCTGGTCTCAAACTCCTGAGCTCAAGCAATCTGTCCACCTTGGCCTCCCAAAGTGCTAGGATTACAGGCATGAGCCACCATGCCCTGCCTGGGTGCAGAGATCTTTTAATACTAGTGCTGAGCAGTCTTTGACACATAGTCTTCATAAACATGTATTAAGGTGAACTTCAGAGAAATAAATATGCCTAAGTACATTGGTTCTAAAATATGTGCCCACCCAAACACTGTGTTGAAAATCATTTGAAATTTCAAGCAGTACCAAAAATAATAAGAAAAATAAGCTGCTACTCATGACATTAGGCCACTACTGTGCTACTACTGCTATAACATGATACTTTATTTTGCTAATTATACTTTCTAACTAATATGACAACCTAAGGAAAAAAGGCATACATAAGTCACCACTTGGAAAATTAATGTACATTTCATTTCTAGGCTAGTGAATCAAAGACTTCTGGAAGTACAGTCACAAGTTGAAGAATTGCAAAAATCTTTACAGGATCAAGGCTCAAAAGCAGAAGATGTAAGTTTTAATATGCACCAGTCATAGTCCATCAGTTTCACAATGTTGAGAAATAACTTTTATTTTTTATTTGATATTTTCTATCAAAATAATTTAGTATTATATTGGTTATAGAAAAGAAACAGTGTTTTCCTTTATACTAACATTTCTTATAAAAAGGACCAGATACTTTATTGTTTCTTCAGATTCACACTCTGCTGGGAATTAGAAGTTTATTTGTAGTTACCAACTGAGGAATTAATTGAGGCTTTATATTTTAAATGTCCTCAACTCAGTATTCAAAGGTGAAGTGTAGGGTTTTTCCCCTTTGGTCAAAAAAAAAATTGCTAGTGGAAATTTGTAATGTTCAAGTAGAAATTTTTAATGTAAAAGTGATGTTTAAGAAAATAATGCCGTCCCTAGAATTGCATTATCTCTATATTTCTGAATCCCTCTCACTCGTTCACTTCCCCAACACTGGCCCTTTTTTTACATCCCCCAGCACACTGTGTCTCTGTCACAGCTCTGCACACTCTGATTAGAATAGGGTAAATATATTAGCCAAGGACTACCTTTCTTCACACCTGCATGTTAACCTTCTATCACAGTGCTTGGGTAGTACAGTCATCAGTCTCTGTCAAAAGTTTAAGTAAGTCATATTTTGCAAATCCTTTATATTTAATCAATAGTAAACAACAGAACTAAGACTTAGAATGTTCAAAAATAGTATAAAGAGGAGAAAAAACTAAATTTTGGTGATCAGTCTTTGCTTCAATCAGCTGTTTTGCTTTTTTCCTGTTACCAATGTAGTTTGCTATATTCTGGCATTTGAGCATAAATATTTGTTTCTATTAATAGAGTCATTTTGGAGGATTAACTTCCAAATTATAGATGTAGCCAATTCTGTTCAGCTTTATTCACATAAGAGGGTATAAAAACAGAAAGAACCAAAGAAAAGGAGTTCAATATGTTACTTAAAACTTGTGAATATTAGATACAAAAAGCTCAGCCCTGGCCTAGTTTAATGAGTTTCTCCAGACATCATCTCTTGTATATTGGCAATATGCCCTTCATTCTAACATGTGTAATGTTAGCTCATCCCTTAATAAGTTGGCATACCTTCTTAGATTCCCAGATTGATTTCTGATTTGTAAAATTATCACCAACATTTAAACTTCCTTATGCCCTTATTAAAATTTAAAACATGTTTTTATCCAAAATGCTAAATCACGAAGAGGTGAAACCAAACTACCTACCATTAGTGTATTAAAATATTGTTAAGTCTAATTAAGTATCTTACAGATAAACTAAAGTGGGCAACATTTCTTAATTCAGTGAAATCACTAGGTCCTTTAAACTGAGATAAATGTAAAATCCATTCTGGTCTCTCAAATTCATAGTAGACTTTTACTGATTTGTTATGGGAGGGGAGGAAGGGCATGTGGTACATAGGAAGTAAAAATGGCAAAATATTAGAATCAGCTTATAATGGCCATTGTGCATGGTTCTATTATGTTAAAGCATAAATAAATAAATAAAAACATAAATAAATAAAAGCATTTTTCTTCAAAAGATAATTTGGCATAGCTTGATTAGGTATCACTATGGTTATCAAATCTAATTAAATATGCTGTGGGCCATTACTTTAACAGAATGTATTTCAGAAGTGAGATGCCAACCCTGTCAAGTAATATTTACATAAATTAGTCCATTTAATTGACTGTCCAGATGTCTTGCTGTAAACTAAGCAGAACTTTGCTCTTGAACTCTTTTCTATATGTAGAAAAGATTCAGATAGCTGAAAGTGTGCCTCCAAATGGCTTAGAAAAATAAACAGTGCAATACAGGATACCTGGTTCTTGCCAGCAATTTTTTTTTTATGTTTTTGTCTTACTTTTCTCTTTCTCTAACCTAGAGTGTTGCATCTTGGGAATGTGCAACACATAAAGCAACCTGCCAAAGGAAGTAGTCCCCTCTGGAGAAGAACAACATAATTTCTGCCAGCTTCTGTTATCAAAAGCACAGTTCTTTCATGAGATCTTAAGTCAGAGTAGAAGGGGTTGAACATTTTTATTATTATTTTTATGTCATTTGTTTTTAGCATGGAAGCAGAAAAACATTGTTATATCCAGCTGTATGGATAATTTCAGCTAGCCACAATATATAAAACTTCAGAGAACAAGACAGGATGAGGAGACTGTAGAAAAAAGAAAAATGTACATTTCTTTTAAAAAAGTGCATATCTTGTATGGGCGCTCTGGCTTATACCTGTAATCTCAGCACTTTGGGAGGCCGAAATGGACAGATCACCTGAGGTCAGGGGTTTGAGACCAGCATGCCCAACATGGCGAAACCCTGTCTCTACGAAAAATACAAAAAATTCGGGTATGGTGGCAGGTGCCTGTAATCCCAGCTACTCAGGAGGCTGAGGCAGGAAAATCACTTGAACCCTGAGGTGGAGGTTGCAGTGAGCCAACATTTTGGAGGCTCCAGCCTGAGCGACAAGAGTGAAACTCTGTATCAGGAAAAAAAAGGGCATATCTTTTACATGTTCATGAATTACTAAATCGTTCCTTCTCTCGGCTGCTGTGTTTGCTTCATACTAATTTGTCCTCTCTGTCTCTTGGCATGGATTCTGCTCAAGGCTATTGTAAGTATGGCTTCCTTTTCATTTTTATATAGTGAGCAGTTTTTAGATTTAGACTGCCATCATAGTTGATGGTATGGAAACTTTTAATTAAGGTAGTTTTGTGCAAAATGAATATCTGGATTACTTGCCTTTTAAGTTTAGGGCCTTTACAATTAAGATGTTCAAAGGGTATCAAAACGTTAAAGAGTCAGTCAAAGAGAAGTCTGCTCTTGGTTTTATTCCCCATCTCATTCCTGTTCCATCCCATTATAATTTATTCATTCGTATAAATTATCTGGATGCGGTCTTCCCTCCTGCTGCCCCATGCTTTGGTGGTAACAGTCTTTAGTTTGGAGACGCACTGCAACATTGGAAGCCTGGAGGTGAAGGCCATGCATGGGCTCTGGAGGCTGGCAGACCTGGGTTTTTGATCTGCCACTTGAAAGCTACTAAATGTTCTCCAGCCTGCCCTTCCTCAACTGTAAGATGGGCTATTACTACACAGGCTGTGAGATTTACATATAATAGAGTTTATGAAATGATTTAGAGCATTGTTTGGCTTATTAACCACCCATTTGACTATTTTATTATATATCATCTCAGAGTTAAAGTTCTGCTAGTCTAATGAAAACTTAAGTACAGAATTGAACTTTCTAAAAAGTATTAATATTTTGCCCTCTGCTAAAGAAGAAATGAGCAATAATTGAAAGTTAATAGAGTTGGCCAGGTGCAGTGGCTCACGCCTGTAATCCCAGGACTTTGGGAGGTCAAGGTGGGATGATCACTGAAGCCCACAAGTTCAAGACCAGCCTGGGCAACAAAGTGAGACCCCCCCATCTTTATTTTTTTTTTTAATTTTTTATAAAATAAAGTTAATAGGGTTATGTTTTTGTGTATTTGGGTAGCAGTGATAGAGGACATGTGGATCTACTGATGTAACTGTAGTTAACATATTGAGGAAAGAAGTGAATTTGAAGTATTACAGAACTGTGTTAAAATGGAAATGAATAAAAAATTATGGTAATCATCATCAAAAGAACTTAGTGTGAGGGTTCCTTTTCCCTCGTTGCTGGTGTTGATTTATTGGACAATTTGTTTTATAAGCCTACGTTAATTGGATTTTGGCTGAATTAATTATATAACCATTTATCTCAATATGAAATATTTCATAAAATTTATTAATAGTATGTACTCAATAAGTGTTTAATTATGAAGTTTAGTGGTCTTATAGAGAATGTTGTTTATTTTTAGGTCAATTTTGATCTCCTGCTTTTCAGGAGACGTTTTTTTTACCCAGTGAAAGCTGCATTCTCCAACATATTAAAGGCTGTGCATTTGCCATTCTAAACATTCCCAACTATTGCAAAAATTATTTGTAACCTGTGTATTTTCATAAGTCACTAATTAAGTCAGATATATTTATAGAAATGGACCCAATACTTTATTATGACTCAAGAAAAACAGTATAGCAGATAAGTGTCTAAAGGGAAGTTTATTATTACTATGGTCCTGTCTGCCTGCCATATCCAGGAATATTAGGTCTATAATTAAGTGGCTTTTTAATTCCTATTTTATTCATTTGTCTGACTATAAGTAGAGAATTTATGTATCCAGGCTGCGGGTATTTTATACTGATTGTCATCGCTTAGGGGCTGCTCTCTTCCTTTATAAAGAGATTTAAACTGGGGTACATTTTGTGTTTTGAGCTCTTTGACCAAACAAATTACTGAGAGCTTGCTCAAAAAATTGACTATTGTACTTTTAACTTAAAAAATACTATTTTAGTTAAAATTTGAGGTAATAAACTAGTTTTGTTTTTCATTTTTAGTCAGTCCTTCTAAAAAAGAAGCTTGAAGAACATCTGTAAGTATAAAAGCTGTTGAGGCTGATTCTTCTACGGTAGAATACACATGCTTTGTGTTAGGTAGATACGGAGTGTCTAGGTGGTGGCACAGGTGGTCCTTGAAGAAATAAAAAATTATAATGCATATTAATAGAGTCTGAAGGGTCATTTCCACCCAAGGTTCTCAGGTCAGAATAATGACTGCTTTAGAACTGCTTTCTCAAATGAGACTTCAGGGTTTTCTGTCTTTGTGATAGTATTTACAGTCATAGTTAGGAGTTTGAGACACTCTAGATCATGGGTCAGACACTTCTTTCTATAAAGGGTCAAATATTAATTACTTTAGGATTTAAAAGCTGGTCTCTGTCATAGCCACTTAGCTCTACAGTTGTAGCTTTAAAACAGCCATAGACAATATGTAAACTAACGGATGTGACCATGTTCCAGTAAAACTATAGATACCAACAGGTAGCAGACTGGTTTTAGCCCATGGGCTATAGCTTGCCAGCTCTAAAGTATTGCCAGCTTACTCTCTTTGTTTAAAAAAAATTTTTTCCCACCGGGTGCAGTGGCTAACGCCTGTAATCCCAGCTCTTTGGGAGGCCAAGGCGGGTGGATCATGAAGTCAGGAGTTCAAGTCAGGAGTTTGAGACCAGCCTGGCCAACACAGGGAATCCTCATCTCTACTAAAAATACAAAAATTAGCCAGGCTTAGTGGTGGACGCTTGTAATCCCAGTTACTCAGAAGTCTGAGGCAAGAGAATGGCTTGAACCCGGGAGGCAAAGGTTGCAGTGAGCCGAGATCACACCACTGCACTCCAGCCTGGGCAAAAGCGAGACTCCGTCTCAAAAAAAAAAAAAATTTAAGAGAGAGGGTCTCACTATGTTGCCCAGGCTGGACTTGAACTCCTGGCCTCAAGCAATCCTCCTGCCTTAGACTTCTGAGTAGTTGGGATTGCAAGTACATGCCACCACACCCAATCTAATTTTCCTTTTTGAGTAAAATTTTAAAAGTCTATAAAAGCTTTTCAGTAGATTTTTAAATATTTCCTTGAATTACAAACAAGGACTTTTTGATCTAAAAGATGAAGTAAATTTTAATATTTTATTTTTATTTATTTATTCATTTTTGAGACAGAGTTTCACTTTTGTTGCCCAAGCTGGAGTGCAGTGGCACGATCTCAGCTCACCGCAACCTCCACCTCCCTGGTTCAAGCAATTCTGCTTCGTCAGCCTCCTGAGTAGCTGGGATTACAGGCATGCACTACTACATCCGTTCAATTTTGTATTTTTAGTAGAAATGGGGTTTCTCCATGTTGGTGAGGCTGGTCTTGAACTTCCAACCTCAGGTGATCTGTCCGCTTCGGCCTCCCAAAATGCTGGGATTACAGGCATGAGCCACTGCACCCAATGAGATGAATTTTAAAATATTCACATTTGTTTTTTCATGAAGAAGAAATCTTCATTTCTCTTTATCTATAGCTGAGGTTGACAATTAAGAAATGTTTCATAATTTTTCTTGTACCCAGTAACAACTTTAATCCTCCTCATCGTTTTCTAGCAAAACTGCTTGAAAGCATTGAATTAGTGACCATGAATAGCCTGTTAAAGTGTTACAACATTACACTGTGCTAAACCAGACATCCTGAGTACCACAAAGATAATCTGGATTTTTTCTACTAGGATGGGAAAGAAATTCTCTTCTCTGGCAGTTTGCCTCATGCTACCCAGTTTTTGTTTTTTAAATGGTAAATGTGGGAGACACAAGCTACTCCTGGTGACAGATTTGCTAGCAATTCTAGCAGTGGGCAGAGTCTTAGTGTACTAGAACTGAAAATGTTACTTTTTTGCCTTTTGTGAGATTACCTGCAATGAGAATTTAGTACTGAATTCTATCCTTTTAAAAAAAATTATCATTCCTTTATGGCAAAAAATAGTCATTTCATAAAACTACCATCTACCCATTATTCTGTGTTCAGTCATTTACAGGGTGAAAAATCTTCATCGGAAAGGATTTATTAGTTAAGATGGAACCTATTAGTTCCTGTAGCTGCCATATCAAATTACCACATACTAAATGGCTTATGGCAACATAACTTTATTCTCTCATAGTTCTGGAGTCTAGAAGAAGAACCAGGGTGGCAGCAGGCTGGTTCCTTCTAGAGTTTTGGAGGGACAATCTGCTCTGTGCTCCTTGTTGCTGCTGGTAACCGCCAGCAGTCCTGGTGTTCTTGGGTTGTAGACAGATCACTCCAGTCTCTTTGTCTACCTTCACATGTCATTCTTCTCTCTGTTGGTCTGTGTCTCATGTGACCTTCTTATAAGGATGCCAGTCATTGGATTTAGGGCCTTCCCTGATCCCACTGTGCCCTCATCTTAACTAATTACATCTACAAACACCCAATTTCCAAATAGTGACACATTGACATATCCTAGGAATTAAAACTTCAATTTGTCTTTTTAGGAGACACAATTTAGCCAACCACAGAGGCCACAGATATCTCAAAATACGCCAGTCTCATGCATATTTAAAACTACAATGGGCTAGATATGGTGGCTCATGCCTATAATTACCGCACTTTGGGAGGCCCTGAAGGGCAAATTACTTGAGGTCAGGAGACCAGCCTGACCAACATGGCGAAACCCTGTCACTACTAAAAAGACAAAAATTAATGGGGCATGGTGGCATGTGCCTGGAATGCCAGCTACTTGGGAGGCTGAGGCAGGCAGAGTTTGCAGTGAGCCAAGATCACACCACTGCACTCCAACCTGAGCAACAGAGCCAGACTGTCTCAAAAAAAAAAAAAAAAAGCCAGGCACGGTGGCTCATGCCTGTAATCCCAGCACTTTGGGAGGCCGGGGTAGGTGGTTCACTCAAGATCAGGAGTTCAATACTAGCCTGTCCAACATGGTGAAACCTCATCTCTACTAAAAGTACAAAAATTAGCTGGGTGTGTTGGTACATGCCTGTAATCCCAGCTACTTGGGAGGCTGAAGCAAGTAAATCACTTGAACCCAGGAGGCAGAGGCTACAATGAGTTGAGAATACACCACCGCACTCCAGCCTGAGTGACAAAGTGAGACTCTGTCTAAAAAAAATAAACTACAGTGAGACCATTTTACACATCAAATTGTTAACATTTAGAAATCCGATGTACTGAGTATTGCTGAAGGTGTTAAACAATGGTAATTCTCATCTGCTGCTGGTAGGAGTATACATCAGTCTGCTTAGTAAACCTGAATATGCCACATATTATGTGACCTCTCAGTTCTACTATATGTATCCTAGATTCCTACAAATATTGTCTGTGCATAGCAGGAGGCATATAGAAGAAAGTATGGAAGAACGTTGTAATCACAGAAAAGTAAAAATAATATGCAAATGTTCACCAATTGGAACGTGATAGAATGAGGTATATTCAAACAATAGAATACCAAACAATAGGGGCAATGTGAAATAAACCATGGCTAATACATCAACACAGATGAATCTCAAGGACATAGTGTTTAGCGAAAAATGCAAATCAGAATAATACATGGTGAATGTATAAAACTTAAATTTCACAAAATTAAGCAAGATATTGTTTAGGAACAGCATAAAGGCAATAAAACCATCATGAAAATCATGAGAATGATTCAAATTCTGGACTTTGGTTACCTCTGGGAAGAATATAGAGACACATGTGATTTCTAAGTTTTGGGTATGATTTCTATTTATTTTAATTTAAATTTTTTTTTTTTTTTTATTTTTTTGAGACAGTCTCATTCTGTCACCCAGCCTGGAGTAGAGTGTTACCATCTTGGCTCACTGCAAACTCTGCCTCCCAGGTTCAAGCAATTCTCCCACCTCAGCCTCTCCAGTACCTGGGACTACAGGCATGTACCACCATGCCCAACTAATTTTTTGTATTTTAGTAGAGATGGGGTTTCCCCATGTTGCCCAGGCTGGTTTTGAACTCCTGAGCTCAGGCAGTCCACCCACCTCGGCCTTCCAAAGTGCTAGGATTACAGGTGTGAAACACTGTGGCCAGCCAATTTCTGTTTTTTTGTTTTGTTTTGTTTTGTTTTTTAACATGGTAGTGATTCATTGGGCTGAGTTTTATTATTATTTTTTGTTTTTTGAGCCATAGTCTCACTCTGTTGCCCAGGCTGGAATGCAGTGACGCAATCTTGGCTCACTACAACCTCCGCCTCCTGGGTTCAAGCGATTCTCCAGCCTCAGCCTCCCGAGTAGCTGGGCTACAGGCGCGTGCCACCATGCCAGGCTAATTTTTTGTATTTTTGGTGGAGACGGGATTTCACTGTGTTAGCCAGAATGATCTCAATCTCCTGACCTCATGATCCACCTACCTCGGCCTCCAAAAGTGCTCAAATTACAGGCATGAGCCACCTTACCCAGCCTTATTATTCTTTAAAATGTTATATTGTATATGTTCTTTGTCGTAGGTCACATATGCACACAATGTCACATCCTCAAAAAATATTGAGAAAGATTTATTTAAGCATTATGCATAGAAAAGATCAGAAATAGACATAACAAAGTGCTCTATTTTTTTAATTAGTGGTTTTCTATATCTTCGCATTTTTGCAGCCACCTTTCCTAGTTATGTTACATAGTACCGTATTAACTATGATAAAGGGAGAAGTACGCATACTATACCAATGCCGGGGAAAAATATCTCACTTTCAATTAATTATTTAAATGCATTTATATTGGAATATGACACATAAAATACATGTCCTAAGTTCCTAGTTTTTTTTTTTTTTTTTTTTTTTTGAGGCAGAGTCTCACTCTGTCACCCAGGCTGGAGTGCAGTGGCGTGATCTTGGCTCACTGTAACCTCCGCCTCCCAGGTTCAAGCAATTCTCCCTCCCATGTAGCTGGGTTACAGGCACCTGCCACCATGCATGGCTAATTTTTGTATTTTTAGCAGAGATTGTGTTTTGCCATTGGGGCCAGGCTGGTCTGAAACTTCTGACCTCAAGTGATCCACTGCCAAGGCCTCCCAAACGTACATATATAGTTGACCCAGATCAACATAGCAACCGACCAGGATTCTATATTCTTCCTCCCAGTAGATTGACCCCAAAACTAGCCACACTGCTGGTCTTTATCACCTTCCATTCATTATGGAATCATACATGGTTACCCCTTTGACTTCCTTTGTTCAACATTCTATGACATCTATTCATGTGGTTGCATATATCATTTGTTTATTTCTTTTTATTGATATGTAGTGTTCTATTTGTTAATTCTTATTTTTAGAACTTCATTTTTTGCAACAAGATTTTGCTTGGTAAAACCTTTACAAAGTTATTTTAAGTATTCTTATTCCTAGAAAAAAATCTATACCCTCTCTTTATGTAGGTCTATATAAAACAAATGACTACTTTTTCAAACAAAAAGAAATTTTTTTTGTCTTTATTTTTTACTTATTTTTTAAGTATATTAAATTCATGTTTTGTCTTTTCATATTTGTTTCATATTACTTGCATGCAGTTAATTTCATTACACATGCAATGCGAGTGTAATCCAAGTATAAAAAACCTAAATCTTTGAAGTGGAAAAAATTAGAGAAATAGTAGTAGGTGACATTTACCTATTTGTTTACAGAGAGAAGCTGCATGAAGCCAATAATGAACTACAGAAGAAAAGAGCCATTATTGAAGATCTCGAGCCAAGATTTAACAACAGCTGTGAGTTTTCTTAATTAGGATAGTTTTTAAATAGGCTTGCTGTATACTGCCATAGTGATAGTGAGTTTACATAATTTTATTTATTTATTTTTGAGGCAGGGTCTGGATGTGTTGCCCAGACTGAAGTAAATGGCATGATCATAGCTCACTGCAGCCTGACCTCCCATGTTCAAGCTGTCCTCCCATCTAACTCCCCCTAGTAGCTGGGACTACAGGCATGAGCCAACCTGCCCAGCTAATTTTTTTTATTTGTAGTAGAGACGGGTTTCACCATGTTGGCCTGGCTGGTCTTGAACTCCTGACCTTAGATGATCCACCTGCCTTGGCCTCCCAAAGTGCTGGGATAACAGGTGTGAGCACCATGCCCGGCCAGAACACACCATTTTAAGCCATTTTTCATGTATAGTCCAGCGACATTAAGGTCATTGACATTGTTGTGCAACTGTCACTGTTAACCATCTACAAAACTTTATCATCTCAAACAGAATTTCTTATCCATTAAACAATGACTCTCCCTTCCTCCCTCTTCCCACCCCTTAATAACTGCTATTCCATTTTCTGTCTCTGTGAATTTGACTATTCTAGGTCACTCATATGAGTAGAATTATATAATGTTTGTCCTTTTGTATCTGGTTTATTTCACTTAAGGTAGTGTCTCCATGTCATAGCATGTATCATAATTAAGGGTGAATAATATTATAATGTATATATGTATCACATTTTGTTTATCCCTACTGGAGTTTTTATTTATTTATAAGAAAAGCTTTTTGTAAAAAAAATGGCCGGGTGCGGTGGCTCAAGCCTGTAATCCCAGCACTTTGGGAGGCCGAGGCGGGTGGATCACGAGGTCAAGAGATCGAGACCATCCTGGTCAACATGGTGAAACCCCATCTCTACTAAAAATATAAAAAAAATTAGCTGGGCATGGTGGCGTGTGCCTGTAATCCCAGCTACTCGGGAGGCTGAGGCAGAGGTTGCAGTGAGCTGAGATTGCGCCATTGCACTGCAGCCTGGGTAACAAGAGCGAAACTCCGTCTCAAAAAAAATTAAAAATCTGAATTTTTTTAGAAGAAAATTATGTATAAAAATAGACCAGTCTCTCAAAGCTGTTAACTATTTGTTGTTAGTCATTAAAATATTTTTAAAATTGTTGTAATCTAAAATAAATATTATGACAATTTATATATATTTGTTATAATCTAAATATGTGTTTATATATATATAGTACTATATCTCATCTGCAGCCTTAAAAATTGAAGAATTACAAGAAGCTTTACGAAAGAAAGAAGAGGAAATGAAGCAAATGGAAGAACGATATAAAAAATACTTAGAGAAAGCCAAAAGTGTAAGTATGAATTTTGGAGGCATCTCACTTTATTACCTTCTGATCACATTTCAGTGAAGTCTCAAATATAATGGATTGACACTACAGCAACTTCTCATGCAGAAAACTCTCAGGAGAAGAACAAATCTTTAAACAAATAAAAAGAACCTGAGCAAGAAGCAGCGGTCAAAATAGGTCATTCCATGGATTACTTACTAATTACCAAGAGGAAAATGTACTTTGTGTGGGAAATGAGTGGCACTTGCCACCTTACTAGTCAACAAAATTAACAACACTAATTAATGATGGAACAACTGATACACTGTGCCTCCTGATGGAGTATCATTATAAATAATAGTTAACCTGAATTTAAGTAACCTTCTAGTTCCAGTTCACAGGCAAAATGAGGTTTATTGGAACAAGCTAAATAACATGTTCAAAAAACCATCAGGTAAATCCAGAATTTAGAATAGAAGTCACTGTCATGAAAACAAGAACAGACCAACAGACTGTGGAGTGTGGGAGAGCACAGGGACCCATTGAAAAGAGGACCCCCACCCTCTGCTAATTGCCAAATCAATGTATTCACCTCTGAGTCCTAGATTGGGGGTTAAGGGGGTCAGTTTTCTTACAGATGATGATGGTTTGTGATTATGTAGGTTAATATCCTTAATCTAAGGAGATTCGTGCTTAAGTATTTAAAGGTTATATGTTATGAGATCTGAATAACTTATTTGGGAGACTTTAAAAAATAGTCTCCCAAATAAGTAACCGTGTGTGTGTGTGTGTGTGTGTGTGTGTGTGTCGAGAGAAATTAAATACAGCAATGAAGCAATTGGTGACTCTAGGTTAAAGATAAATGGGTTTTTATTCTACCCTTTCAAGTTTGAGGTTAGTCTGGGCAACATACCCAGACTCCATCTCTACAAAGAAAATGTTTTTAAAAATTAGCTGGTCATGGCCAGGCACAGTGGCTCACACCTGTAATCCCAGCACTTTGGGAAGCTGAGGCGGGCTGATCATCCAAGGTCAGGAGGTCAAGACCAGCCTGACCAAGATGGAGAAACCGTGTCTCTACTAAAAATACAAAATTAGTTAGGTGTGGTGGCACATGCCTGTAATCTCAGGAAAATCACTTGAACCCAGGAGATGGAGGTTGTGGTAAGCTGAGATGGTGCCATTGCATTCCTGCCTGGGAAACAAGAACAAATTTCCATCTTAAAAAAAAATTAGCTGGTCATGGTGGCATGCAACTATAACCCTAGCTGTTCAGGAAGCTGGGGCAGGAAAGTCACTTGAGCCCAGTGGTTCAAGGCTGCAGTGGGCTATGATCACAGCACTGCACTCCATCCAGGATGACAGAGCAAGGCCCTATCTTTTAAAATAAAACTAAATAAAAATATTGAGTGAAGTTAAAATACCTATCCCAGCAGTCCTCTAGTTGGCCAGCCAGAATAATCACATCCAATGTCCATGCCAAACTGGATTGCCAGCGGAGGAAGAGATAGGCACAGCGATAGGCTTACACTAGTCAGGACCCTCTCCCCAAAGTACATACCTGATTAGAGGCAGAAGGCTAGCAGACTAGATTAGAGGGAAAGGAAAAGAGTAGACTACTGTCAGTAATGTCTGCTGTACAGACACAAGTCATTTAACAACAGGGACACGTTCTGAGAAATGCATTCTTAGGCAATTTTGTCATTGTGAAAACATTGTAGAGTGTACTTTTGCAAACCTGGATGCTATATAGCTTAGTACACAACTAGACTATATGATATGGAGTATTGTTTCTAGCTGAAAACGTGTGCATCACATTACTGTACTGAATAGTGTAAGGAGCTGGCTACACAATGGTATTTATGTGGTAGGAATTTTTCAGCTCCTTTACAATATGATGGTCATCATATATATGGTTCATTGTTGACTGAAACATCATTATATGGTACATAACTGCATTTATTAATTTTAATCCAGAATTACTTTTTATAATTGGATCTTTATATAAGTAAAAAGTTTTATGTTTGTACAAATATTATATACCCCAGAAAATTTTATTTAAAGTTACAGTTAATACTATTTCATACATTTACTTTTTAAATTATTTTTGAGACAGAGTCTTGCTCTGTTGCCCAGTCTGGAGCACAGTGATGTAATCTCAGCTCACTGCAGCCTTGACCTCCCAGGCTCAGGGGATCCTCCTGCCTCAGCCTTCTGAGTAGCTGGAACTATATGGGTGCACCATCATACCCAGCTAATTTTTAAGTATTTTTTGTAGAGACGGTCTCACTATGTTGTCGAGGCTGGTCTCAAACTCCTGAGCTCAAGTGATCCACCTGCCTCAGCCTCCCAAAGTGCTAGGATTACAGGCATGAGCCACCACTCCAGGCCACATTTACTTTTTAAAATACCCTTGTAAGATAACCTTTGATTTTTTGTAAGTTTATCCTTTCATTTAAAAAAATACTAATTCTTTTATCAAATGTTACATTCTTTAAGTTTGAGACTTTTAAAATTTTTCTGTTATTTTTTGCAGGTTATTCGTACTTTAGATCCTAAACAGAATCAAGGAGCAGCACCAGAAATACAAGCTCTTAAAAATCAGCTCCAGGAACGAGACCGACTATTTCACTCATTAGAGGTAGTTTATTATACTGTATAATAAAATAATTGCATTTTGATTTTAATGTCCTGGGAGCCTTATTATATTTTACAGTTGTATCCATGGGTTTTAACAATTAATTGTTAAGTATTTTGTTTATATTGAGTTATTTTATATCTTTACATATTTACATGTGCTTTTGTTTCTTTAGAAAGAATATGAGAAAACAAAGAGTCAAAGAGAGATGGAAGAAAAATACATTGTTAGTGCCTGGTATAATATGGTAAGAACATAGTACTTTGGAGAATAATGAAAAGTTTAATGAATATGTAATACTTAATATTGCCTTTACTGTAGAAGTCATTCTACCAAATGAATCTGAAAGTAATTGCTATCCTAACATACACTAACAGAATCTTAATGCTATTTCTGAACTGAAAAGCTGATATGAGAACCACCGTAAACAGGGTTAGAGCATTTTGAACACATCATTATTTCTAGAGGATAGAAAGATAAATGTCAGTCTAATTTCTGTCCCTCAGAGACTTTATTATAAGGGAAAGGACACTAATACCATCTAAACAGATGCAATAGTTTTTGTTTTGTGAGATTATTTTAGTGTCTTTGCAGAATGGAACTTTGATTGAGGGTAGTTTATCTCATGGGGTTTGGAAAATGTTCACATTGTCAGACCCTGAACTGGAGGTTTTGAAATTGAATATCCCAACACAAAAAACTAATGCTCATTAGCATCCTGGTTGGGATGTGAATAGTTAGGGATTTTAAAGAGTGCTGCACTTCTTTCAGTATTTTCCCAAGACTTTCTGTCTTCCTTTTGTTTTTTGTTCTTTTCAATAAGACCACTTCTGCCTTTTAAAAAATGTTAGTTAGCCGAGTGTGGTGGCTCACACCTGTAATCCCAGCACTTTGGGAGGCCAGGCGGGTGGATCATGAGGTCAGGAGGAGAGACCAGCCTGGACAACATGGTGAAACCCCACCTCTACTAAAAATACAAAAATTAGCCAGGTTTGGTGCCACGTGCCTGTAGTCCCAGGTACTCGGGAGGCTGAGTCAGGATAATTGCTTGAACTTGGGAAGGGGAGGTTGTAGTGAGCCAAGATAGCACCGTTGTACTCCAGCCTGGGTGACAGAGCAAGACTCTCTCTCCCCCCCAAAAAAAGTTATCTGAGACAAGAAATGAAGAAATGGGAACAGATTCCTTTTATGTTTTTATTTTTATATTTTTTTGAGACGGAATCTTGCCTTGTCACCCAGGCTGGAGTGCAGTGGCATGATCTCAGCTAACTGCAACCTCTGCTTCCTGGGTTCAAGTGATTCTCTGCCTCAGCCTCCCGAGTAGCTGGGAGTATAGTCACCTGCCATCATGCCTTCTGATTTTTGTATTTTTAGTAGAGACGGGTTCACCATATTTGTCAGGCTGGTCTCAAACTCCTGACCTTGTGATTTGCCTGCGTCAGCCTCCTGAAGTACTGGGATTACAAGTGTGAGCTACCGCACTTGGCCCCAGATTCCTTTTAACATCCCGCTGTGACCCTGTAGCTCTATTATAGTACAGTACCATTGTTTTTATTTTACAGTTATAATTAATATTGCCTCTTAAAGGTTAATGTCTCTGGCCTCTGAACACTGTGATTTAATCTCCATCAAAAATTCATAAATTTCATTATATATTATTTTCACATCTATATTTGCCTTGGTCAAAATGGCGTATCTATGGCCGGGTGCAGTGTCTAATGCCTATAATCTCAGCACTTTGGGAGGTCGAGGCAGGCAGATTACCTGAGGTCAGGAGTTTAAGACCAGTCTGGCCAACATAGTAATACCCCATCTCAACTAAAAATACAGCTACTTGGGAGGACGAGTCAGGAGAATCACTTGAACTCGGGAAGGAGGGGTTGATGGAAGTGATGGTTGAGGGAAATGGCGAATGCTGGGAAGAGGTAATAAATAGCTCAGAGAATGCCCTTGCAATAGACTGAGGTATTTAACCTGTGTCAAAATAGACTGAGGTCTTTCACCTCTGTAAAAATACAGAAATTAGTCAGTCATGGTGGCACACACCTGTAGTCCCAGCTACTCAGGAGGCTGAGGCACAAGAATTGCTTGAACCCAGGAGGCAGAGGTTGCAGTGAGCAAAAATTGCACCTCTCTACTCCAGCCTGGGCGACAGAGTGAGACTCTGTCTCAAAGAAATAAAACTACGTATCTAAGATTTTACTGCAATTTAAAAACCAAAAAGGAAATTATATCAGAGTTAGAATACTTTTTTTTTTTTTTTTTTTTTTTTTTGAGATGGAGTTTCGCTGTTGTTACCCAGACTGGAGTGCAATGGCACAATCTCAGCTCACCGCAACCTCCGCCTCCTGGGTTCAAGCAATTCTCCTGCCTCAGCCTCCCGAGTAGCTGGGACTACAGGCATGCGCCACCATGCCCAGCTAATTTTTGTATTTTTAGTAGAGACGGGGTTTCACCGTGTTGACCAGGATGGTCTCGATCTCTTGACCTCGTGATCCACCTGCCTCAGCCTCCCAAAGTGCTGGGATTATAGGTGTGAGCCACCGCACCCGGCCCTAGAATACTATTTTTGATAAACAGAGGCCAGGTGTAGTGGCTCATACCTGTAAATACAAAAATTAACCAGGTGTCTTTGCAGGTATCTGTAATCCCAGCAACTCTGGAGGCTGAGGCAGGAGAATCTCCTGAACCTGGGAGGCAGAGGTTACAGTGAGCCGAGATGGTATCACTTGCACTCCAGCCTTGATAACAGAGTGAGACTCCGTCTCAGAAAACAAACAAATATGGATTTCTTGAAAATTAAAATTCAAAAAATAGAAAAAAATAAAACTATTTTATTTGAGGAAATTCTCTGGGAATTACTCCTGACTTTTAAACTATCCTGTCTCTTCCCTGTCCTCCCAGAAGCTTAGTGTTAGCAATCTTGGACCTCTGCATTTCAGGCCTTATTAATAATTTTTTTTTTTTGAGATGAAGTTTCACTCTGTCGCCCAGGCTTGAGTACAGTGGTGCAATCTCGGTTCACTGCAACCTCTGCCTCCTGGATTCAAGCAGTTCTCTGCCTCAGCCTCCCACATAGCTGGGATTACAGGCATGTACCACTGCATCTGGCTAATTTTTGTATTTTTAGTAGAGACAGAGTTTCACCACATTGGCCAGGCTGACCTCATGATCCACCCACCTCAGCCTCCCAAAGTGCTGGGATTACAGATACCTGCTAACACACCTGTGAGCCACTGTGCCCAGCCCAATAATTCATATTCTTCACTGATTCATACTGTGTTTCTTACAGAACCAGATTGATTTATTCTGTGAAGTGGTTCTAAAGAATAGTCCTGGCTGGGCTCGGTGGCTCATGCCTATAATCTCAGCACTTTGGGAGGCTGAAACGGGCAGATCACGAGGTCAAGAGATTGAGACCATCGTGGCCAACATTTTGAAACCCCATCTCTACTAAAAAATAAAAAATCTGGGCGTGGTGGCATGTGCCTATAGTAATCCCAGCTACTGGGGAGGCTGAGGCAGGAGAATTGCTTGAACCCAGGAGATGGAGGTTGCAATGAGCCGAGATCTCGCCACTGAACTTCAGCCTGGTGCCAGAGTGAGACTCCGTCTCAAAAAATTAAAAAAAAAAAAAAAAAGTTTCTAATTTTTAACTCTTCAGAGAGTGAAGGAATAATGCCAAATAGACTCCCTGAACTTATATTCAGATAAGTAAACCATCATGCTTACATTCAGAAAGTTCTGCATCTCATACTTAAATGAAAATAGAAATGATGAGTGGTGGGAAGAGGTATTAAGTAGCTCAGAGAATGCCCTGTACTGAGGTCTTTAACCTGTGTGAAGAATTTAATAAACTGTTTGAAATGTGAAAGTGAAAAAATTAGAATATTTAAATAAAATATAAATTTTAATATATGTAGCCAAATTTATAAGTTAAAGATTACCAATAAATATTTGTCAATTTATTCAAAACTTGAAATGCTCTGATTTCAAGTTGAGTTTAAAAATGTGTTTTAGATGTTTGTCATTTGGAAAATATCGTGTTTTGGGGTTGATAGGATAGACTGAAATTGTATTAAAAATGCAAAGCTGAGTTTGGGCGCAGTGGCTCACACCTCCAATCCCAGCACTTTTGGAGGCCAAGATGGAAGGATCTCTTGAGCCCAGGAGTTCAAGACCAGCCCGGGCAGCTAGTGGCAAGACTCTATCTAAAAAAAATGAAAAAAGAAAAAATGCAAAGTCAGAACCTGTGTTTTCCCTAGAAACTAGCTAGTGATGTATCTTCCAGTTTTCTGTCTTCTGCACGTAGTTCATTGCATCCTGTAGTTTGTCTTTTCCACCTGGCTCCCCTTTTGCCTCTTGATTGGTTTTTTTCTTCCTTGCTGCCTGCTTTCAGTTATGCCCAGCTGTTTACTTGCATTCAGTCATTGTTGAGATTAAACAACAGCTCTCAGTTCTTTTGTTGTTGTTGTTACTGTTTTTGAGGCAAGATCTCTCAGTGTTCCCATGCTGCAGTGCAGTGGTATAATCACAGCTCACTGCAGCCTCAAATTCCTGAGCTCAAGTGATCCTCTGACCTCAGTCTTCCAAGTAGCTGGGACTATGGGCATGCTATCATGCACAGCTAAATTTTTTATTATTTTAGAGAGAGAATATCTTGCTATTTGCTAAGGCTGGTCTTGAGCTTCTAGCCTCAAGTGATCTTCCCACCGTAGCCTCCCAGAGTGTTAAACCCTGGCCATCTCTCAGTTCTTAATGTTTCTCTGGCTAGGATTCTTCATCGTCTGGTTAAATGAGTACCAAAAAATTGCTTTTTTCCTGATCTACTTATAGACTTCTGCCTTTTGTAAATAGTGTCATTATTATATTCTTGTCATTCCTCCGCAGTCAGGGATGCCCTGGAGGTTTCTTCCCTTCTTTTAAGGTGCTCTGAGTTCAGCAGTTGCCTTCTCTCCCTTCTAAACTGTTTGGTGATCCTCCTGTCTTCAAGAAAGACCCCCTCCTCTTGGTTGGGCCCTCTGTTGTGGACTGTCAGGAAGTTTTTTAATTTGTTTGAGAATTCAGGTCTGGCTTGAAGTGAAGAAAAACAGCATGGTGGTATGTACATTACCTAGTGTGGTTTCCACCTTAAGAAACAACACAAGCTTTTGTGTTTCTTATTCTAAATGAGAAAAACCTGTGATTTCTATCCCTGGAGTGAATCTACTGCTACCAATCGTGCTCTCTTCCTTGGAAAATCACTTTCTACATTTAATTTGAAAGGAAGTATGATTGAGTGTGAGTAATGTCTGTCTCTATTATCTGCTGTTTTGTTTGTTGTAAAATCAGACATTTAAGCCTGAATTTTTCCAAAGAAAATTTGTACCTAATTGTGGGAACTAAAATGCCTCTATGAGATTTTAATCTATAGTAAGTAGAATTAATATTCCTAATTGTGCTGTATGATGCAATGTAACAAATTCTACATGTTGAAATTTTCTTTTGTGAAAGTAGATTCCACTTGTTTTTATTGATTCTTTTTTGTTGTTGTTGTTTTAATGTTGCAGGGAATGACTCTGCATAAAAAGGCAGCTGAAGATAGACTGGCAAGCACAGGCTCAGGGCAGTCGTTTCTGGCAAGGCAGAGGCAAGCGACCAGCAGCAGAAGATCGTACCCAGGCCATGTGCAGCCGGCTGCAGCAAGGTAGAAAAGTACTGCTGCTCAAACACAGCAGTACAGACACATGCACCCACAGCATACTTCTGTTACACACAACATTTCAGGAAGCTCAGCCAGCTTATTTTTTGTTTCTCTTCTATGTCAATACTTAGTGTTTCTCATTCTGAGGACTTTTTCTCTCTCCTGTAACTTTGTTTTACTTTCTTTGGTTCTTATTTTGTAGTCCTTTCAGTTCTTTTTAATGTGCCAAAAATTTGTACATGTCCAATTAAAAATGTTGTATAATAGTGTAATACTTTTCTTTGTATGAAAATGTCCTCTTCCTCAAAGGTGTAGGCTTTGTAATGAATTAGATTTTCTGCCAATAATTATATACAATTTATATTCTTTATTGTGCCTGTGTGTTACCATGCTTTATAAGAATGTCTTTGTTTAAAGGGAATTAATCTTTTTATGATGTATTAATCTGTGTTTTCAGTTGTTTTCCAAGTACAGTTCAAATAACTTGCATATTTACTCTACAAAATGGTTAACAGGTGTTCTTTTTGCAAAGACATAAATTCATTGGCAGAGGTGCTAAGCATATCTTCCCTAAGGCACCTGATAGAATTATTTGAAGAAAAAAGAGTTTTCACATTGTTTTATAGGAAATTAAATTTGCCCAAAGATTTGGAGACTGTTTTGTAAGCATAAATACATAAAATTTCATTATTTCCTGCTATCTGGTTTGCTGGTAGAAATGAATGTATTGGTAAGGTATTTTGGGATAAATTACAAAAGAAAAAATATCAGGCACTACATTAATTTGTTGTTGTTGTTTTGGAATATCTTATGGATCAGATTCTAGCAATGTGATTGACATTTATATTATACCTTCCGTTTCTCTTCATATCTAAAAGAGTTAATCTTTCATATATGTACAAGTTATTGGTAGCCTTACCTTTTGGACTATTTGTTGACTTATGCCTCATTTGTTTTACTTATTCCTTAATATAAACCCTTCCATTTTTTAATAATTTCTAACACTTGACATCTTAATATCAGTCATTAACATTAGTAACTTCTTATATGTTATATCATGACAGATCTCTTTATGTTTTTTTCTCACATCTATCTGCTAGTCCAGGAATTTGTTACTAAATAGATTCTCTTGGGTATCTGGTTGCCTCAAAGTGCTTACATTTGTTAACAGATTGTAAACCCCGTTTATTTACATTGATGAATGGGCTGTCAATGAGTAATCGTTGTAAAGCACTTATATATAAGCTGCTATATAAATGCAAAATATCATTCATTTAAAAATGAAATGCCTTCTAACTTTCCATATTGACTTATGTATTTGGTCCCAAATTATATTTAAGTTTTCCTCCAGTCTTTTTCTTGCAACATAGTCCATTTTTTGAAAGCAAAAAATTTCTGAAATAAGATTATGGTATTTTTTATTTTTAGAGAGGTCACCTAATATAGGAGGATGTCTTCTCATGTACTTGCTATTTGGAAGTTCAGGTTTCATTTAGTTATTTATGTTAAATACAAATAAGTAACCTCAAATCAAGCTAAATGTAATTAAGAATTTTCAGAAACTATATCAAGTGTTTGATTTTTAAATCCTTACTTTTTAATAAGAAAGTTGACCTAAAAATCAGTAGTATTTTTGTTTGTCTTCAGAAGCCATGGTTGAAGAAACATATTAGAATATACACAGAAATGAATCCATACATTCCATACATTGTGCTAATTTTTTACATTAAGTACAGAAGTCTGAGCGCAGCCTGAATGCTTCTGCCTGATGAGACCACAAAGCAGTCAGTCAGGGATAAATGGAGACAGCCATGAGTAGAATTGGTGTAAGGCTTCAGGAGGCTATGCAGTCCTGATCAATGTAGAAAGTTTTGAAAGTAAAAGATTAAAAACTATTTCAGAGAGTTCTTACCCCTACCTGTATTTCACAAATAGCTTGAGGATCCAACTGGTTTTTAAAACAAATTGGGGCCAGGCCTGGTGGCTCACACCTGTAATCCCATTTGGGAGGCTTAGGTGGGGGTGGATCACTTGAGGTCAGGAGTTTGAGACTATTCTGGCCAACATGGTGAAACCCCATCTCTACTAAATTACACAAATTAGCTAGATGTGGTGGCACATGCCTGTAATCCCAGCTTGGGAGGCTGAGGCAGGAGAATCACTTGAACCCAGGAGGCAGAGACTGCAGTGAGCCGAAATCGCACCACTGCACTCCAGCCTGGGTGACATAGCGAGACTCCATCTCAATCAATTAATCAGTCAATCAATAAAGCAAACTGGGATGTGAGCCCTAACCTTGGCAAGTTAAAATTTGGGGAAATAAATAAATAAAGCAAATTGGGATGTGAGCACTAACCTTGGTAAGTTAAAATTTTGGGGAAATTGTACCTGCAGAATATGATCAATGAAAACAAGAGCCGGGCACATTGTCTTATGCCTGTAGTCCCAGCACTTTGGGAGGTGGAGGCAGGCACATCATCTGAGGTAAGGAGTTCAAGATCAGCCTGGCCAACATGGTGAAACCCGGTATCTACTGAAAATACAAAAAATTAGCCAGGCATGGTGGCACGTGCTTGTAGTCCCAGTTACTCAAGAGGCTGAGGCAGGAGAATCGCTTGAACCCCACTTGCCATGACCTGAGGTTGCGTTATTGTACCCCAAATGGGTGACAAGAGCGAAACACTGTCTCAAAAAAAAAAAAAGTCTGTGAACTACTCACTGAATGGATTTTGTTCTGTGAGATGGGAGGTTTTGATTTTCATTTTCTATTTATGCCCCCAGTCCTAGTCTCCTACCCATCCAGCTACCCAGATACTTTTCTCTGAGTTGGAAAGGCGCCAAGCTTTTACTTCTGACTTTTCTTTTTTTTTCCCCAAGATGGAGTCTTGCTTGTTGCCCAGGCTGCAGTGCCATGGTGCGAACTTGGCTCACTGCAGTCTCCACCTCCCAGGTTCAAGCAATTCTCCTGCCTCAGCCTCCCAAGTAGCTGGGATTACAGGCACCTGCCACCATGCCCAGCTAATTTTTGTGAGTTAATAGAGACGAGCTTTCACCATGTTGGCCAGGCTGGTTTCCAACTCCTGAACCTCATGATCCACCCTCCTCTGCCTCCCAAAGTGCTGGGATTACAGGCGTGAGGTCACTGCACCTGGCCATACTTCTGACTTTTCTTCAGCATCTGTTATATGCTGTTATTTTGATGTTTACATTTAAAACTTTCATTCTCCTTTACTGTACCTATAAAATGTAGTATATTAGTTTCATTACATAGGAGAAATTGTATTTCTAATCATTTTATGACATTTAAAAACAAAGCAGGCTTTTGTAAAAAAATAAGATGAAATAGCTTCTGAATATACTTTAGGTATCAGAGAGCCAAAAATAAAACTGAACTATAACGGTGGCAACTCCATGTCCTGTGTCCAGCTTTGGACAGGGTTTATGACATTTTTGTATCTTTAGTAATGATTAATGATTTCTTAAGAGGTTTGTCATGTTGTATGGTCTATCGAAGTTTAAGACACTAGGAGCTTTGTCTCATTGTGAGTGATGTTGTGCTGTATTTTTGCAAACTACTGGCACAGCAGCTTCCTGAGCCACATTGGCTTGTGCAGTGGAGCTTGTGCCAGCACCAGCATGAAGTAAGTGCAGGGTTGCTGTGTTGGGTTGGACGCCAGCGTGAAGTAAGTGTAGGGTTGCTGTGTTGCGTTGGAGCATGCTGTCACCACAGTGAAGTCTTAAAAACAGCAAGCTCATTTTCTGTTTTCCTTATAACCAGGGTGAGAAAATACAAAATAAAGAACTAAGGAATATTAAAGCCTAGCATTTATGTTCTACAGTGTGTTTTAAAAGTTTGTAATCCAGAAAATATAGTAGTGTATATCTGAAAAGAATAAGGTACACAATTTTACATATATAAAAGAACTTGAAAAACTCTGTCATATCTTTTACCATTTGTCTATTTGATAGTAATGCAGAAAAAGAAGTCCCTAAAGACTCTGTGTGTCAAAATATACCAAGATTAACATTTCTATTAGACATCCTTAACCTGCTATAATTGGTTTAATGAGATGATTAGGCTATAATAAGGATGAAATTGCTGTCTGTAATTTTGTTGAGGTTTTATTGTTGATATAATAAAAGCTTAACTGTACAAAATTAAGTTAAATATTATCTAGTCAGAAACATCAGCCTGTATATTCCAGTAATTCTCACAAAAGAATGAAAATTTATGCTACTATGCAAATAGATCAGTAGTGAGTGGTTCTTTTCTTTTCTTTTTCTGTTTTTTTTGAGACTGTTTGCACTGTCACCCAGGCTGTAGTGCAGTGGCATGATCTCGGCTCACTGCAATCTCTGCCTCCTGGGTTCAAGCAATTCTCCTGCCTCAGCCTCCCGAGTAGCTGGGACTACAGGTGTGTGCCACCATGCCCAGCTAATTTTTTTGTTTTTTAGTAGAGATGGGGGTTTCACCATGTTGGCCAGGTTGGTCTCCAACTCCTGACCTCAGATGATCCACGCGCCTCAACCTCCCAAAGTGCTGGGATTATAGGCATGAGTTACTGTACCCAGCCTCCTATCTCCTTTTCAAAAGTAGCAGTTTGGCTTATTGTTGTTAGCTAAGTAAAGCTTTGAAATATTTTTCAACCTCTCTTGCTCCCTCACTAACATTCATCTGTTGTTTTAATGATAACAGCATGTTAAAAACTTGGAAATCTTTATAAGAATTATCTTGAAACAGAAATCTAAATTATTTTTCAAAATTCTCTTAACTCTGCGTTTAGTCTTTTATTGTCCAGATTTCTGACTCCAGGAGGTTTATAGTTATCTCCAGTTGGATCGTGTGTGATTTATCTGAAAAAGCATCCACAACCCACAGCTAGTTAAAACCTAGCTAGTTTACAGCCACGTGGTTAAGAACATCTTTGAGTCTAAAGTGAGAGGAGAGTACTAGCATCTTGCTTTTTGCTGAGGGTAGAATAACAACATGAAGACAAAATGCTCTTTGTTATCTATTCATGAAACTGTAGAAGAATATTTTGAGTTTTTATCCTTATATTATGAAGGGATTCTTTGCCTAGCAGTGGCGGTCAAACTGATATAGCATTGTACTTCTTAACAGTGAAGCCTGTGTGATACCCTACAGTAGGATGAAGACTATACTGAGCAAAATAAAATGGGATGTCAGAATCTTCGAAAATTATCTTATCACTTTTTCTGTTTTTTTCATTTTTATAAATCAGAAGGATTTTCCATTCAATAAAGATACTCTCTCTTTCTATAATTCTGTCAAAATGGCAGTTTATTTTTGTAATTATCCAACCAGAGGTTTCAGAGCTTATTATAACTATAATGATTTGAATGTTTTATATCACGAAGTTTTTTTCTATGAGGAAGGCTATTCTCAATGTATCTGTTACCCAATGTTTTACTTTCTATAAAGAACATTTAAATAGTAATTGGTGTATGTTCCTTTTATTGAAAATGTTTTATTGTCCAGTTTTAGCACAGAAATGGTCTAAAGTTTTGCAGCAAATGCTGTTCAGTTCCCAGAAGCCTAAAAAACATAACATAATATGCTGCTAACAGAGTTAATTTCTCCCCAATCCCTCAAATTACCGAAGTATTAATATTTAGCTTTCTTTCTAGAAAACAAAGGGCAGTACAAGTGGGATGGCATCCATCTCTTTTAAATCACTGACGATTTTCTGAGGAAGTATGTATAAATTATTTTGTTTTTTAAATAGCCTTTTATCAAACCAATTCACGTGTATTATCTTTATGACTGCAGAAACTTATAAAACATATTTAATTACTGTTGACTTAAAACATGAGCATCCTTGGATTCTTTACATTGCACTGAAATTATAGAAAAAGGGACATTCATTTGAGAAACAAGAGACCTGAACCTAATTATGGCAAGTATATGAGTTTTGGTGATTGTGAGTGGTCGTAAATGTTTCCTATGATAGATAAATATGTAGATCAGGAATTAACTTGAAGTCTCTTCAGAAGTTTTCTGTTTTCTTACAATTTCCAGTAATACTCCGCAAGATAAATTTATAGATATAGATCAGGAATTACTTGGTGTCTCTTCAGAAGTTTTCTGTTTTCTTACTTCCAGTCTGAAAGACTTGGTTTGCATGCTGTGTGTGTTTGCATGAGAATAGGAATCTAAGATCATAATGGAAGGCTATTAAGGCAAATTCATTCCTAGAAAGTGGAGTGGATCATTGGGAAAAGAAATAGCCTAATTATAAACAAATATGCAGACAGAGGGAAGTCCTAATACAATGAAAGCTTGCACTATCTAAACAAATGTTCCCAAAGTAAAAGTTTGCATAAAATCTTCTGTCTTTATTACATGATCATTCAGTAAAAGAGTAGACAAAAATCTTATTTTCTAATTGTCCTTCCCTTCATTGAGTATTAACTAGGCACATAATGTAATTGTATATGTTTTTAGCAAAGGAAAAAACACTTGTTTTCATTTTGAAACTGTTGAGCTATTACTAAAGCTCAGAAAGTGATTTTAGGTCTCTAAAGTGGTTTAGCTAAGCATACTCTGATTTGATGAGATGAGAAGAAATCTACAGTGGCTGAATATCGTGACAAACTTGGTGTTACCTAGATCTGCCTTATCTAGTTTGCAAGCCTTAGACTCAATTTTATGTCCCTCTTATTTACACAAAGTATCCCCACACAGTTTTGTTCAAAATGAAGGCAAAAGTAGGCATTTTAAAAATATATTCAACGTTGCGCCTTTATGTATCCTGATTATCTGCGGGCTCAGAATTAGGTGCTTAGGATCTGAAGATGAGATCACAGGTGTCCACGGCCTCAAAGTTTGGGTCCATAGGACTATCAAATCTGAATTATATCTACTTAGAGTTTAGAGAAGGAATTAAGTGTCATGAGAAAAGCAACTGCTATATAAGAAAAAGAAAACTACCAAAGCATGTTAAAGCTTTAACATGGGAGACTTCCAAGTGGGAGTTACCACTTGAGTAGTAACTAACTTGATGAAGGAAAATAATTACTTTAGCAGTTATGTTGTAAAATTAATAAAAAAGACATGTTTATTCTGATGTATTTGTCAACCCATAGATAGTGATTACTACATGTACATTCTACAGTGTATTTATTTAGTGTCTTAATATTATTTACTGTTACTTCTAGTCATTTATGTAGTATATTTTACTGTAAGATTTATAGCACTTTACTAATATTAGATCATTATTTTCCCTCTTCCCCTCTACCTTTATGGAATTTTCTATTATCTTAGGAATCTAAAGGTCTAAGTCTAGAAATCTGTTCAAAGCTGAGTTGGAGCTACTGGGCATGAGTTACTTTTTACATGTCTCTTAAAAAAGACTCTTTTATAATGTAATATTTCGCAGCCAAATCCTTTCAAATGCAAACGCCCTTGAAACTTGATGCTTTCTGAAGTTGTATTCATAAAAAATGTCCCATCTTATTGTTAATCAGAAGATGTTCCTACCTTTGGTTTGCCTGCTTCCTGAAATACAAACCTGTAGATTGCCTCTAACTTCAGCAGTACCTCCATCACTGCATGTACCTAAAAACGAGAAAGCCGAATTCCAGGAGCTGTCAAGTCAAGAGGATCAGGAAAATGGTGGGGAAGAGGTGACTGGAAAGGCAGGTACTAAAGATGGCGGGCTGCAAAGCATTCTGAGTTCCCTTGTAACAGATAGGTTTTGTGAACTTGGCCATTTTCTGTTTTTCTTTTCTTTTCTTTTTGAGATAGAGTCTTACTCTGTTGCCCAGGCTGGAGTCCAATGGCATGAACTAGGCTCACCGCAACCTCTGCCTCTTGAGTTCAAGAGATTCTCCTGCCTCGGCCTCCCAAGTAGCTAGGATTACAGGAATCTGCCACCACACCTGGCTAATTTTGTATTTTTAGTAGAGACAAGGTTTCTCCATGTTGGTCAGGCTGGTCTTGAACTCCCGACCTGAGGTGATCCGCCTGTTTCGACCTCCCAAAGTGCTGGGATTATAGGTGTGAGCCACCATGCCCAGTGAACTTGGCCATTTTCTTACATTCATAATAGCAAGGTTTTCAGCTTGTTCTACCAAGAGACTTTTTTTAGGAGCCAGGACTTCTCCATTTGTAACTTGACTATATTAATATTCAAATCATAGTTCAAAAGTACTGAAATACTTGTCACATAAATATGGACACAATTACTGCCAAAGAATAGAGAGATTTGCTCAAAAGAACATTCTGTCAGTTGTTTTGTTCTGTTTTTAGAGGAGAGATGTGCTTTTTTTTTTTTTTAAATAGACGGGGTTTAACCATGTTGGGCAGGCTGGTCTTAAACTCCCCACCTCAGGTGATCCGCCCGCCTTGGCCTCCAAAGTGTTTGGATTACAGGCGTGAGCCACCACGCCTGGCCTGAGATGTGCTTTTATAGTGCAAGACGTTTCTCTTCTGCCTTACACCTCTGTTCTACTGACGTGTAGCTCACCTAGAACACAGTAATGCTGAAATAGAGAAGTCTAGACCCTGGCCTTTGAGGGAAAGGTCTGCTTTTTTTCTCTCCCAAAGTAAAAAATTAAAAGTGAACCATAACACATAAGGATGAAATACAGTGTTCTGAATATCTTCCACTAAGTAATTGTTGAATGAGTAAGTCTCTATTTTAACTTCCATTTTCTGGTTAACCTAGACAAGAGTAGATTATAGATAATTCAGTAGCTGCATGTGGCAGTTAAAATTAAGTAAAATTAAAACTATAGTTTCTCAGTGGCCTAGCCACATTTCAAGTGTTCCACAGTCACATGTCAATAGTGGTTACCTATCAGCACAGATATAAAACAATTCCAATATTGCAGAAAATGCTATTTGACAGCGTTTTTAATGCCCAGAGAGAAAATAAGAACAAAGTAAAGGCAGTGAAGTAACTTAATACAACTCTGAAATTTTACCACCATACTTAGAAAAATTTTTATCTTATAAAAGTTAATACCAGTCCTTTTTAAGGACCTTGGAAAAATCAAAACCCCATTCCTTTAAGCTAGTCTTCAGTATATTATTTTTTGAGAACAGATTCTCAGTATTTTATTTTTCAAGTGATAACATTATTTTATAAATCATTTCTTAATATCTTCAGTGTTTTTTCTTTTTTTATGTACTCATTAAATTGATATATAAATTGGGCATGGTAGCTCATTCCTGTAGCCCAAGCTACTCCAGAGATTGAGATGGGAGGATGCTTAAACCCAGGAGGTTCAGGCTGTGGTGAGGTCTAATCACACCTGGGTGGCAAAGCAAGACCCCTGTCTCTAAAAAATATATAATATAAATTGATGTTATAAAGCTAACATTTATCAAGCAAATTTATATGAATGCTTAATTTATTTCAAATAAAGATTGATAAATTTCTTGATATCCTAACTTTTAAATTTACTTAGATTCAATGAAAATTGCCAACAGTCTTTTTTGTTTGTTTCTGTCCCTTAAACATTTCTCCTGAAAGTCGACCTCAAAAGTACATCAAGGCACAAACAATTTTTTTGTTTATCTTCATAGCTTCCTGCTCTTATTAACTTGTATTATGAATCACATTAAGTTTTATGTATGAGGCATTTACTATTCCAGGGACTTAGCTAATGAAAAGTATTAATTTACTTGGCCTGTTACTAAAGTGCTTAACATAGCTAAATGGATCTAACATGTCTAAATTTTTTAATAGAAATAAGGAACTAACCAAAATCCTTTTGAGTCAGCTTGGTGCTTAGTTAGAATTATTTTGTTAGGAAGTCTTGATGCTTTCCTCTTTCTCTTTAAATTTTTGTAATCAAGCAACAGACTTGATCCAGCAGTATCAAATTCTAAGCAAGTTATGATTAAATTTTTAATTGTAGTTCAAGTACAGGTGAGTAAGTGGTGTGACTTCAGTTTATTATCTTCTTGGTGACCTACTTTAATATGTATTCTGTAGTGATTCATATTAGTTAAGTAAAGTTTTCAATATGCTTGAAATAAGAAATAGCATTTTACTCTGAATATAGGAAATGACTGTACACAAATGCCAATCAGTGATTTGGGGCCTTTTAATATTTTTAACAGCAACCTTTTATTTATTTATTTGTTATTTTTTTGAGATGGTGTATCCCTCTGTCGCCAGGCTGGAGTGCAGTGGTGTGATCTCAGCTCACTGCAACCTCCACCTCCCGGGTTCAAGCAATTCTCCTGCTTCAGCCTCCCGGGTAGCTGGACTACAGGTGCGTGCCACCACACCCAGCTAATTTTTATATTTTTAATAGAGATAGGGTTTCACTATGTTGGCCAGGATGGTCTCGATCTCTTGACCTTGTGATCTGCCCACCTCGGCCTCCCAAAGTGCTGGAATTACAGGCATGAGCCACCGCGCCCGGTTCCATCTTTTATTTTTTAATAGCCTTCGTTATTTATAATTCAAATGCACTAAAATATCATCACTGTCATGAACTTTGCTGTTTTACAGGTTCTGTGTAATTCAGAATGCTTTGTACTTAGAAAATAACTTACTACGTTTATTTTGTTTTGCAATTTTCATGTTTTGACAATTGCCCACCATTTATAACACTCAATTTTTGATTATGTAATGGATGGTAAAATTTAAACATATCTAATAATAATTTGCCTTAGTTTGATTGATAAATTATATCAAAAATTTGGGGATAGAAATAGGCTTTTTTTCCCCATAGTATTTTTTAAACTTTTTAGATGAGCTGGACGACCTTAGTACATTATTGCTGGAGTTGTATTGAGTACAGCCCCACCTCTGAAGCCTTATATTCATGTCTTAAGTACTATCGATTATTCTGTGAATTGTTGTTAGTTTCATATTTGACATTGTAGTAACCACCTTGCATTTTAGTCTTTGCAAAAAGGATATAGCTAGGTATATTCTTATTTCTGATAGACTATTGAATTTACATTTTCACAATTTCATTCTTTGTCATTATAATCCAAAAACAATGTCCACATCGGACCTGGAACTTATCACTTCAAAAATGAAATACAGATTTAGCAATGTTGTACATAATAATGTTCAAGCATTTTTCCACCTGTTTACTGAGTTTTCCAACCATTTACTATGTGTTGAGATTGGTGGGTTTTCTTGCTGTTTTTCTGAGGTGAATGACTAGTTAAAGAGCCTCAGTAAGAAATTTTAACTAAAATCACAAAAACATAAAGTCCAGGAAACCACCAGAAGATGGATTTTTAGTGTTTTTGAAATCTTATATTTTGATATCACTTACTCCTTTTTATTTTCCGACTGCCAATTAATTATGGTATTATATGTATGTGTTTATATGTATGCATATAATATATGTATATGTATATGAAGAATAAAGTTAAGATTTGGTCAAACTATATTTTCCCATTCAAGTACAAAAATGTTTTCAAGGCTGCAAAAAGTGTACAGTTGTTAAACAAGTTGTAAATAAAGACTTGTATAAAAATTCAGCTTAGATTTCTTTTTTCTGCCCTTAAATTGTGACAAATGCACTTCATAATTGTCTGGTAATATTCTTCCGCTCACCTTTGACACTTGCCATTGTGTCCTATCAATTTAAAGCTTATGTCACTGGCCAGGAGTGGTGGTGCATAAGTGTATTCCTAACACTTTGGAAAGCTGAGGCAGGCAGATCACCTCAGATCAGGAGGTTGAGACCAGCCTGGCCAACACAGTGAAATCCCATCTTTACTAAAAATACAAAAATTAGCTGGGTGGCCGGATGTGGTGGCACATGCCTGTAATCCCAGCACTTTAGGAGGCCAAGGTGGGTGGATCACCATGTCAGGAGATGAAGACCACCCTGGCCAACATGGTGAAACCCTGTCTTAAAAAAAAAATTGGCTTGGCATGGTGGTATGTGCTTGTAGTCCCAACTACATGGGAAGCTGAGGAAGGAAGAATTGCTGAACCCAGGAGGCAGAGGTTTCAGTGAGCCAAGATCATACCATGGCACCCTAGCTTGGGCAACAGAGAAAGACTGAAAAAAAAAAAAAAGTAATGAAGATTATGTCACTGCTTTATTGTAAGTCAGGAGTATTCTTTGGGTTTTTTCCAGTACCAGTGGTAGATTTCCTGTTGATTTAGACTGGTACTTTCTGTTTGTAAGCTGATTAGTCTTCTGGGATAAAAGTGAAACATGGCTGCTTCTCTGTAGAGCTAGCGTGTTGACATGACTGATTTTGCCACACAGAGTATTCTTTGTGACAACTTAATGTCACAATGTAAAGCATTATTGTTGGCACTCTATTTAGGCAATAATTGCCCTTTTTCTGCACTTTTTCTTAGATCCTGAGAGTTTATCTTTTTCCCCAGCTCTCCCCTAATCATTGAAATCTGGCATCTTTGGTGTTAAAATGGTAGTAGCAGAATGGGAGTTGATTATATTTACATTAAATATCAACTTGTTAGTTCCAAAGTGAAGTTAGCAGCTAAATAAAAGCAGTATACATATAGCCAAAATAGTACCCATTTTAATGTCAGAAAGATAAATACATGTTTTCTTCACTCATTTGCTTGGAGATATCCATATTAATTAAGCATTAAAGTTCACAATAGAAGTATTTGTGTTGATGCAAACCTGTAGTCCCAGCTACTCAGCAGGAGGATCACTTGAGCCCAGGAGGTCAAAGCTGCAAGTGAGCCAAGATCATGCCACTGCACTCCGGCCTGGGCAGCCAAGCAAAACCCTGAAAAAAGAAGTGTTCCCCAGCTAAAGCCCTGCCAGCTTTGCCTTACATATATTTTTGCTACTGTTGTGATTATCTATTGGTGTATCACAAACCACTCCAAAACCTAGGGTGTTCAAACAACCTATTCTCCCTCCTGAGTCTGGAGACAGGCTCAGGTTCCACTGTTCTCAGATGGGGTCCCCCATGTGGGTGTGGTTAAGTTAGATGATGTGTGAGGTCAAAGTCATCTGAAGACTTGCTCTCCCATACACCTGGTGCCCTGGCTGGTATGGATGGTACACCCAGGGCACGTCGGACATTTCCACACAGCTGTGTGGAAAATCCAACACAACTTGTTTGGATTTTCTCACAAAATGACTAGATGAGTTATTCCACGCAGCCAGCTTTCCCTAGAGCAAGACTCCTAAGAGACCCAGGTGGATGCTTTGCAGCTTCTTATACTCAGCCTTGGAAGCCACACAGCATCACTTCTCTTATTTGTCAAAACTGTCACGGACAAGACTAGGTCCAGGGGCTGACAGAATACACTGCAATTCTCAGTAGTAGAATGACCAGGTTACACAGCCGTCACTCTGGACTCAAAGGAAAATGTCTGCTATGAGGATCATACTTCTGAGGTAAAATCTTTCCCCATTTTCTGATTTCTATGTTAAGCACATTCACTGTGTACAACAGTCAGGTACATGACTTCAGTGTGAACAAAACCTGAGGTAGAAACTACATGGAAATATAGTAACAACAACACTCATACTTCTTTTGGTAGGTATCTAATTGCATGTAACATAAGCTATAAACAAGTTTTATATAAAAATGTTGGCCAGGCGCAGTGCCTCATGCCTGTAATCCCAGCACTTTTGGAGGTCAAGGCAGGAGGATCACAAGGTCAGGAGTTCGAGACCAGCCTGGCCAACATGGTGAAACCACATCTCTACTAAAAATACAAACATTAGGGCAGGGCATGGTGGCTCACACCTGTAATCCCAGCACTTTGGGAAGCCAAGGTGGGCGGATCACGAGGTCAGGAGATTGAAACCATCCTGGCCAACATGATGAAATCCCATCTCTACTAAAAATACAAAAAAATTAGCTGGGCATGGTGGCGCCGCCTGTAGTCCCAGCTACTCAGGAGGCTGAGGCAAGAGAATTGCTTGAACCCAGGAGGCAGAGATTGCAGTGAGCTGAGATCATGCTACCACACTACAGCCTGGGTGACAATGCGAGACTCCATCCCAAAAAAAAAAAAATTAGCAGGACATGGTGGCATGCACCTGTAATCCCAGCTGCTGAGGAGATTGAGGCAGGAGAATTACTTAAACCCGGGAGGTGGAGGTTGCAGTGAGCAGAGATCACACCATTGCACTCCAGCTCTGGGTGGCAGAGCAAGACTCTGTCTCAGGGAAAAAAAAGTTTTTTATTAGATAATTGATATGCAAATATTTTCTTCATTCTGTTCCTTGACTTTCTACTACTGCATCTTTCAAAGTGCAGAATTTCTTAATTTTCATAGTGGATCTAAGAAATCTTTTTCTAACTTAAGGTCACAAAGATTTCCTTTTTTTTTTTTTTAGAAGTTTCATAATGTTATATATTACATTTAGGTTTATTACCCATTTTGTCTTAATTTTGGTATATAGTATAAAATATGGATTGAAGTCACTTTTCTTTTTCATTTGAGTGTGGGTATATAAACTGTTCCATCACCATTTGTTGGAAAGTGGAAATTTGTTCCACTGAACCACATTGTACATGTTTGTTGGAAATCAGTTGAGTATAAAGTGTCAGCCAGCCTGTTTATTTCTGGATTCCTGTTTTGTTCCATTGATCTATTTTTGTATCTTGACACCAGTAACACCCTACCTTGATTGTGGTAGGTTTACAAGAAGTGTTGAAGTCACATGGTATCAGTCCCCCAATTTCTTTTCCTTTTCAAAGTTGTTTGTTATTTGGGTTCTTTGTCATATGAATTTTATCATCAGCTCATAAACTTCTATTTATTTTTTTCTGAAATGGAGTCTCACTCTCTTGCCCAGGCTGGAGTGCAATGGTGCAATCTCAACTCACCGCAACTTCCACCTCCTGGATTCAAGCAATTCTCCTGCCTCAGCCTCCTGAGTAGCTGGGATTATAGGCATGTACCAACACACTCAGCTAATTTTTGTATTTATTTTTATTTTTTTGAGACAGAGTTTCGCTCTTGTTACCCAGGCTGGAGTGCAATGGCGTGATCTCGGCTCACCGCAACCTCCGCCTCCTGGGTTCAGGCAATTCTCCTGCCTCAGCCTCCTGAGTAGCTGGATTACAGGCACGCGCCACCATGCCCAGCTAATTTTTTGTATTTTAGTAGAGACGGGGTTTCACCATGTTGACCAGGATAGTCTCAATCTCTTGACCTCATGATTCACCTGCCTCAGCCTCCCAAAGTGCTGGGATTACAGGCGTGAGCCACCGCGCCCGGCCAATTTTTGTATTTTTAGTAGAGGCAGGGTTTCACCATGTTGGTCAGGCTGGTCTGGAACTCCTCACCCCATGACCCACCCGCCTCAGCCTCCCAAAGTGCTAGGATTACAGGCATCAGCCACCACACCCAGCCTCTATTTTTAAAAAGTTGGAATTTTGACTCGGATTGTGTTGAATCTATAGGTGAATTTGGAGATAATTTATAATATTGAGTCTTTGTTTCATTTATTTAAGTTGTCTTTAATTTCTCTCAGCAGTTTTCAGCATGTAGGTCCTGGCCAGGCGCAGTGGCTCACACCTGTAATCCCAGCACTTTGAGAGGCCGAGGCGGGTAGGTCACCTGAGGTCCGGAGCTGGAGACCAACCTGGATAACATGGTGAAACAGTCTCTCCTAAAAATACAAAAATTAGGCTGGGTACAGTGGCTCATGCCTGTAATCCCAGCACTTTGGGAGGTCGATGGCAGGCGGATCATGAGGTCAGGAAAATACAAAATTACAAAATAAAAAATTAGCTGGGCATGGTGGAGGGCCCTGTAATCCCAGCTACTTGGGAGGCTGAGGCAGGAGAATCACTTGAATCCGGAGGCAGAGGTTGCAGTGAGCCGAGACTATGCCATTGCACTCCAGCCTGGGCAACAGAGTGAGACTCTGTCTCAAAAACAAAAAAACAAGAATTAGTGGGGCATGGTGGCGGGCGCCTGTATTCCCAGATACTCAGGAGGATGAGGCAGGAGAATCACTTGAACCAAGGAGGTGGAGGTGGAGATTGCATATTTGAGATTGCACCACTGCACTCCAGCCTGGGTGACGAATCAAGACTCTATCTCAAAAAAAAATAGTCCTTCTTAAATTTTGTCAGTTTTATCCTGACCATTGTATATCTTATGATGCTGTTGTACATGGTGTTTGTTTGTTGTTGTTGTTGTTTTCTGAGACAGAGTCTTGCTCTGTCACCCAGGCTGGAGTATAGTGGTGCAATCTCAGCTCACTGCAACCTCCACCTCCCAGGTTCAAGTGATTCTCCTGTCTCAGACTCATAAGTAGCTAGTATTACAGGCATGTGCCACCACACCCAGGTAATTTTTGTATTTTTAGTAGAGATGGGGTTTCACCATGTTGGCCAGGCCGGTCTCAAACTCCTGACCTCGTGATCCACCTGCCTCAGCCTCCCAATGTGCTGAGATTACAGGAGTGAGCCATCGTGCCCAGCCATAAATGGTTTTTTAAATTTTAATTTCAGTTATTCTATGCTAACATACAATTAAAACAACTTTTGGTTTACTTAATTTCTCTATAGCT